GCCCAGTCTTGCACTGCCTATTGTAGAAGCCTCAGCTACCGCAATAAACAGTCAAAGTTAAACCTGTTCTCGCCTCCTTTTACCAAAACCACAGATCACAACAGTACTTCTTAAAGATAAAGAAAATAGTACTCCTTAAAGATTTCTTAAAGATTCTAAAAGATTAAAGGAATTTCAGTTAAATCTTCAGTTTGATGCTTATTTATTTGAGTTTAGGTTCTTCATAAATCATCATGCCCAGTTGATCGGAGAACAAAATCCATTGTGCCCTGTAATGTTCCATTCATGTGCCGCTTGCACAATTTCATAGAAAATGAAAGTGCTGTTTATTTATTCCTGGAGCAAGCAAGGTATGTTTTAGTCTCTATCCTATATTGTCGGCTACAGGATCAACTATGTGGCCTCTTGTGTAAATTCATTTGTTCTTTTGCAGAGGTGGACGCTTATGGGACCATATAAGTCCATACTTTGAAATATATCACAGTCCAGAAAGCTCTAGAAACATTTTCTCTAAGCTCATATCTGACTGTGCAACAAATGTGATTGGTCCTATCAGTAATCTAAATAATATAGAAAATGCCGAATCAGACAAACTAGTTGAAGGACCCGAGCCTTTCCCATTGAAGACAATTCCTTTAAATGTTTCTTACGTCACAAATTCTGCTGTTGAAAATTTGAAACCAACTGAGCAAACCCACACCTCTGGCATTGTACCAGATATTTCTGTAGAAGTTGAACCAGCATCCCAGACTGAGATTTTCAAGAATCGTTTGTCGGAAGTTCCCTCCTCTTTGAACAATCTTGTATCGAGTCTTGGTCAAAACACTGAAGACATTATGAAAAATTCTGAAAAATTACTGGAATCTGTCAAAAAAACCTTGTCAGATAGTGAGGCAGCAACAAAAGCATTACTAAGCTGTGAATTACTTCCTATTGGAGTTCCGCATCAAGGAAGTGATGATGTTAATATTGGTATTAGTTCGGTTTGTGCCTCTCCAAAACAGACAGTTAAAACACAAGGATGTAGAGAAAGATTATCCTTGATTACGAGGGACTATGGGCGCCCAATCAGTAAAGATAGGAAGTCTGCATCTTCCAGACATTCCCGAAGTCGACTGCGTTTCAGTTGTGATGTAAGTATAACTACTCAGTTTGAGTAACTTAAGTTGAAACAGCTGAGAAACTTAGCATTGCATAACTTCTTTGTATTTCTTAACAGGATATGTTTGAAGGACGTGCCAGAGCTTTATCAAAAAGTTTAGATAGGGAAGCTCTGCAAAGAGTTCACCCTAGAGATGACCAAGGAATTTGTCTAGGTTTGCCAATAGATACTGTTCGTTTGTGGGCTGCTCAGTTGCTGTTGGCCTTAGATGCTCTTCATCGATGGGGAGTGGTCATTGGGTAAGTAGAATGCAACTTCTCTGACTCCCAAGTTGCGTCCTTTCATATTTTCCAAATTTCATTATTCTCTCTTTTCTACATTTTCCCAGAGACTTACGTCCTGATAATCTACTTTTGAGTAATGGCTTGAACTTGGTTCTAACTTATCATTGCCAGTGGGTTTGTGTTGATCACCTAATACACCCTGATTCAATAGAGCAGTACTATGCAGCCCCAGAAATAAGTAGTTTTCAAGTCAAAACTGTAGCAGCTGATTGGTGGAGTTATGGAGCAATACTTTTTGAACTTCTTTCCGGCGAGGTATGAGCAGAATATGTCAATATTTTAGAAAATGACAAATATGTATCATGCAAAAGCAATTCTTTGTTATAGACGCTCTACAGCTGTCACCCTGGTGGCTTTCATAGTTATTCCACCCTGCACATTCCAAGTTCTGTACCAGAAGAGGGGGCCAGTCTCCTGACACAGGTTTTTTACTTTTTTTCTTGTCTATTCAAAACAAAGTAATGGTTTTTAATGCACTGCCTTTTTACTAATATCACTCTTGATAATCCTTTCTAGCTTCTCCGTTTTGAAGCTCCAACCCGATTAGGAGTGGGACCTCATGGTGTAGCAAAACTCAAAGCACACTCTTTCTTTAAAGGCATTGAATGGAATAAGGTTCTGTTGATGTCTGCATCTGTGTAATTAATTAATGTAAAGGTTCTTCAAACCGTCCGTGTAATTGTGATTGCTGGATACAAGGTAACTACTTAATTGACTTTCTTCATAAATCTTCTGTTTCTACTTCTACTTAATATTTTTTAAAAAATAACTCAAAAACAGAGATTCAGATAGAATTTACATTTTAAAATTGACAAGTCTCTAAGCCCTCCATTTAGCTGCCATGAAACTATTAAAATCATCTATCTATTTATGTAATAGATACAATTTTTTAGAATTATATTTTAAAAGAAAAAAATAAGAATAATACAAATATGTGTATGAAGAAAAAAAGGAGTTTGGAAACCTATTTAGTTTCTAGTCAATAATATGTTTTGATTCTCTGAGATTTTATTTCTAATGCTGCACTTCCCCTGTTTTTCATAAGAGGTGTTGGTCAGGGTTACTATTGGAGTTGCTTTTATTGTGTTAAGAGAAGGAAACAATAAAAAATATCTTATTATTTTGTATTTATGGAGAGTATTAGTGCATTTAGCTTCCAGAAATCCAAGCTGAACCAAGGGGTTTGCCTCTCCAACACAGTAATTGCTATCTCTTAAAAATTCATGAGATATGTTTAGGTACAATTGTATACTCTTATCATGCATAGCCCAACATCTAATTTTTAAATTTTTAGAGTGGTGACTTCAGTCTTTTAACTCTTCAATATGTTTTGCAAAGAATATGCCTTTTTTCAGATACCTCACAGACCACCACCATTTACTTGGTTGTGTGGATCGGCATCAGCTTCGCGTGTCTGATTTGATTCTCTATATTGACAGTGAAAAACAGGATTAATGAATAGCTTTATGGAGTCATTTTAGTTATACGTAGCTTTCAATCTAAAAATTTATTCAAATTTTCACCTTTAAACCAAGCTACAAATGCTCCATTTTCATAACAACCCTGTCATTTGCTCAGTAAACTTTTCAAGGATCATTCCAAGTGCTTAGAGTCACAGGTTACCGATACCTTTCCTTCAAGAAAGAATGAACCAATAAATTATTTTATTTAGTTACATATTTGTCTGCTATTTACATATTTTCTTTTCTTGATAGGGCAAGTAGGTTTTAGATGGTATGGCCAGAACAACAGAGTTGCAACCAAAAGAAAAATGCATACAGTAATTTAAAAGAGTGAAAAGAAACTAGACTATAAAAAAGAAAACTGATTGCTGATATTGTTTCAATCATCTGTAAGAAGCATCATAAAAATAGCCCTTATTGAAGTTGAAATACAAGTGAACCTCTGGTCAATTATTTTGTTCTCTCTAGCCCTTAAATTCCTATTGTATAACATCTCCATATCAAAACTAAAATAACAGGCAATTGATGAGAGAAGGGCACACATGTCTCATGGTTAATGAACAATGTATGGAAGAATGTATCTGACATGACAATTTAAAATTAAAGAAAAGACTCATCTACATTGTCTTTTAGATGAAAAAATATACATTCCAAGTAGTTTGGTGGAATATCACAGAAAACGAAGATCTATACAATAAAATTATAACAAGAATGTACTGTGCAAGGTCAGTGTGAAGTTTAGTATGAACTTTTTATGAGCAGATCATAAAAAATCAGATGGTAAAAGTATGAAGAGTATGACGGCTTTCTCAGATGTTCATTACACCTGCCTTCACACTGAATGTTAAAACAATTAACAAA